GTTTTGTTAGAAATCCAGGGCCCATCTGGCCTGGATGAGGAGATTTATCCGTTTAATACCTTGTAAGTCTCTAGAGTGTGACGTTCATTTCTGCTTTGTACCAGTCTCAACACATTGTCTTCCATAACAGTCATCGAGTTTTTGTGTGGAGTTGTCAAAAGTAATCTATGAATGGTAACAATTTGCACATGATGTCTGAAATAAAATATAACTTTTACAGATTTTAATAAAAGTTGATTAGAATGTGATTGAAAAGTCTCTAGAGGATGTCATCCTATTGGCCAAGCATTTTTGGGTACTTTAGCCAAATTCATTTATTTTATGTAGATAGAGAAATGCTTACGTGGAGATGATAGTACTATTTATTAATAATTATATTGTTCAGTATTGTTTAATACGAGTTTTGCCAGAAATTCAGGGATTTCCAGGGAGTCTATTTGGTGCCCCCTATTGGAGGGGGAGGGGGGTTGAGGGCGATTTATTTATTTTATGTAGATAGAGAAATGCTTATGTGGAGATAACAGTACTATCTATTAATAATTATAATGTTCAGTATTGTTTAATATGAGTTTTGCTAGAAATCCAGGGCCCATCTAGCCTGGACGAGGAGATTTATCCATATAATACTCTGTAAGTCTCTAAAGTGTGACGTTCATTTCCGCTATGTACTAGTCTCAACACATTGTCTTCCATAACAGTCACCGAATTTTTGTGTTGAGTTGTCAAAAGTAATCTATGAATGGTAACAATTGGCACATGATGTCTGAAATAAAATATAAGTTATATAGATTTTGATAAAAGTTAATGAATATGTGATTGTAAATTCTAGGATCCATGAAATGTAATTAAAATTAATTGCTGATTTTAATTTATATTTTAATAAAAAATTTAGCTGAACCAAAAGCTAAATATTATCAATGTAGAGCTGAAAACAAAGAAAGAAATTTTTGAAATCTTGCTCAGACTACGATAAAGCACATTTCCAAGCCTCTGAATGCATGAATTTAAAAAAGCCAGTTTAAGGTTTATAAACCATTTATAATTTATAGAAAAGAGTGGGATAAGTGAGTAGTATATACATATATGTCCAATGAAATATCTGATTAAAAAGTTATTTGACTATTTATAAACAATTTAGCCGAACTTCCACGAGCAAAATTTAACACACACACACACACACATATATATATATATATATATATATACACACACATATATATGTGTGTGTGTGTGTGTGTGTTTTCATGATATAAGAAAATAATTGTAAATTATTTTTACAATTGCATAGCAGTATGTTATCTAGAAAAAAGATGATTGTATATTTCATGCTTGAATAAAAAATATACAAATTATTTTGCTTGTATTCTTTGATAGTGTTGATATGATTGAATTGAACGTGAGGATTATATTTCTAAATTTTGTGTAATTCAATATTGTAAAATTGAAAAAAAACTATTCGCACAGCGCGGAGAGAGTTGAACCAAATGCGGAATAAAAATAAAAAAATAAAAAAAGTGCTGAGAGAAAAAAAACTTTTTGCATAGTGTGGAGAGAGTTGAACCATGTGTGCAGAGTTTGCAAACTCCTCGTACAGTGCGGAGTAAAAAAATAAAAACTCTCCGCACAGTGCGGAGAGATTACAAACCAACTCATGGAGTTTATATATACTAAAATTATTATTATTTTTTTTTAATGTTGTTGGCATGATGCGTGTGTGGAAGAATATTTGTCAATCACTATAAACAAAATTCTTCACAAAATACAAAAAACAAAAATGCATAATAAATCTTCTTATTACGCTAATAAAATTACAATAATTTTTTTTTTTATAAATAACATAAAAAATTAGTTTTATCTTCAACAAAAACACATTTAAAAATTATCAATTTCATAACCACTTTTTTTATTCTTGGAAATACAATTATAAAAAAAAGGAAATAATATTGAATTACAACATTTAATACTTAAGAAATTAAATATTAGATAAATTTTACACATTTATAACACATTATAAATTCATATATGCAACTTATCGTATTTGCAGGCAGCTTATCGTATATACTGTCTACCTTATTTGCAGCTTACCGTATTTGTAAACAACTTACCGTATTTGTATCTTACCGTATATGCTGTCTACCGTATTTGCAACTTATTGTATTTGTAACCTACCGTCTTTGCAAACAACTTACCGTATTTTCACCTTACCGTATTTGCAGCTTACTGTATATGCTGTTTACCGTATTTGCAACTTACCGTATATGCTGCCTACTGTATTTGCAGCTTACTGTATTTTTATATACCGATTTTTACACTTACAAATACCGAGAACGCATAACACCGTATATTTACTTACCAAACTGAATTTCAAAAAAAAAATTTAGATTTTTATTTTTTCAATATAAGCATAAAATAAATATTAAATATATATGAAGCATAAACTATAAATGCATATGAATATGGTGCTCAATCTTCAATTTTCCAATATTGAATTACACAAAATTTAGAAATATAATTTTTATGTTCAACTCAATTATATCAACACTATCAAAGAATACAAGCAAAATAATTTGTGTAATCTCGTATATTTCTTATTCAAGTAAGAAATATACAAGTATATTTTTCTAGATGACATAATACTGTTATGCAATTGTAAAAATAATTTGTAATTATTTTCTTATATCATGGAAATATTTCTAGAAATTGCTTCAAAAACTTTCAAAAAAATTAAAATTCATACACTAATAAAAATACGATAAATGAAAAATTCGTGCAACACACGTGTTAGTCACTGTGCGGAGAGGATTTTTTTTAAACTTCGCACTATATGGAGAGTTTGCCAACTCTCCGCACTATGTGTAGAGTTTTTTTTCTTCTTTTTTTTACTCCACACATGGTTTGCCATCTCTCCGCACTGTACAGAGAGTTTATTTTATCTTTTTTAAAGTTCATGTGCGAAGAGTTTTTTTCTTATGGTAGCTTATATTTACTAAAAATATTATTATTTTTTAAATACTAGTGGAATGATGTGTGGAAGAACATTTGTTTGACAGGAAGAACATTTGTTTGATATAAACAAAATAAAAAATGACATCATACAGAGTAAAATTGAATTAATTTACTATTGCATCAATAGTAGGCCCTCCTTCCCCTTTTAATTAGAAGTTAGATATATGGTCAAGGTATTAAAAAAAAAAAAGTGAATTAGTTAATTTGACACAAGTAATTAAGTAGAGAAATGATAAAATTTTAACGTAACTTTTTGTTGTCAGTCAAACTTTAAAGTAATTTTTTTATGGGGTAATTAAACTTGTTAATTTAAGTGCTTATTTGACAAAACTTTGTTAAAAGGAAATGCACTTTTCAATTAGTCAATTTTCAATTTAAATAATCAACCTTCCAATTGCACATTTAATCAACTTTTATCAAAATCTATTAAAACTTTTCTCTAAAGTTTTACCGAACAACCCCTAAAAATATTAACATATATATGCAAATAGCCACAGCCTAAGATTCATATTTTCATTGTAGTAATTAAGTAGACCAACTATTTTCTCCAAAAATAGATGATAGAATATCGGAGTCTACTTCTTTGAAGTTACTTTTGGAAATAATTACCTTTTTATTTCGAGTAAAAAAAGTGATTTATGAAAACTTATTTTAGCCATTGTTTGATAATGATTGAAATTCATATTTTAATTTAAATCAAAGTCAACAATCAATTTTAATTATATATTTATTTTATTGATCCCACAATTTTTCGACCACACATTTTATCAACTTTTATCAATATATCTAATTTTAATCCTCATCGAACGGGAACTTAAAGTATATGTTCGTGTCGACATGGACAACTCAAGGCTCGTAATTCGAATGTAGTAATTCAGTGGAGGATGGAGAAATAATTTCCTCCACGAAAAGATGGTAGAATATCTGAGTATTTGTTTAGGGGAGTATAATTTCTTTGCGTCGGCGCATCAATCTTAAATAGTTGTATGCCTTGACTCGTTGAGAGGGATCTAATCCCCACCACATGGGTGGATTAATCCACTTGCTGATGATATTATATAAAAGAAAAGAATAGGACTTCTCAACATTCATTCTTTTTTTGATGTGCACAATTTTTCATAAATAAGTGAATGCGAGACGCGAACTTAAAATTCATCTGCTCTAATCAAGTTGAATAAGTTCATTTAAAATCTTGAATATGTTAAGTTGTGAAATCTAATTACTATGACTTTGTCCATACACGAATCAATATTCGTGGTGAGGTTGTCATGGGGTTGGAAGGGAGGCAGGAAGTCCTCCTCTCGGAGGGTGAGGCGGAGCCCACAAGCCAAAATTTCATTAAGGATGGTCTAAAAATTTTACACTACTAATTTCGATTTTGTTCTAAATTTTTTTCTTGAAATAGAGAGTCAACATTAGGGTTTTGTATCATATTTAAAAAGAGTGAAGGGTTAGATGAATTAGGTTGTGCGATTTTTTCTTTCAATTTTATTCTCGTCATAGTGAATTAATGTAGTGATGAACGATGATATAGTCTTCTATCGAAGCAAACCCCTTCTTTTGTGTAGTTATTTTTATTACTATGATTTTATTGCTCCCAATGTTTTAGAATTATAGTTTCTCATTCTACGTAGAGTTATTAGACGATACTTGCGAGAACTATAAATTCAATGCAATTGATGTATAAACAAAAGGAATGGAGAGTAATCAAAGTATAGATAACTTTTGAGCCTCAAATTATTTTGAAATTGGAATTCTTGATAAAGATATTATCATGATTAGATTCATTTATTTAAATTGTAATATTTGTATCTTCGAACAATCCTATACACACAAAGCAGAATCACATCTTATATGCCTCCCTTGGCAAGATCAAATATATATTCTGTCAACTTGCACCGCCAACCCCATGTCACCCCCACTTCACACCACAACTTTTCTTCCCTATATAAGGAGTTTTTGTTGAAATCTCTAGTCAAAACCATTCTCTTAACTTGTATTATTTTCTCTCCAATCTCCCTTTTTCTCATAGTTGTTCAAACTTTTGAACTCTCCTTTGTCCATAAACTCTAAATTTCGACTCGGCACGTAATGGCATCAAACTCCCCATGGACGCCTGAAGAAAATGAGCGATTCGAGGATGCTTTAGCTATGTATTCCGAGAACACTTCCAACCGGTTTCATAAGATAGCCAGGGCAGTAGGGACCAAAACCGTAGAGGAAGTAAGGAGACACTATGAGATCCTAGTGAAGGATATCATAAAAATAGAAACTGACCAAATACCTTTGCCCAAATACAGAGTTATTACAAGCAATGGCAGAGCATATGGTAATGAACAGAGGTAATGCATTGTCCCTTAAATGAAACATGATTCATTTTTCGTCATTGAATTCACTTATCGCACGTTCAGTATGTTAGATTGAACAACATTTCACACTAGTAAAAAACGTCCTATGGCTATTATTATCTAGTACTGTAAACCAAACGAGCCCAAAAGAAAACTATTCGTGTTCATAAAAGAACCCTCTTGAAATCTAATCCTACTTGTTTTAGATCATAGCATGTGCATCATCATGTTTGGCTAAGCTTGAAAGTGAATTATACTTATTTTTAAGTAAAATTTTGTTTGTAAACATATCAAACAAATGAACCCAGTGTTACCATCTTATCTAAAAACTTAAAAAGTGTTAGAGAAGTTATACTATTTATTTGATAAACTAATATATTTATTAACTTAATTGTATTGAAACAGGCAGCCTATGAGGAATGCTAAGCTACAGTGAGCAAATATTCAACTACCATCTGAAGATCTGAAACTTTTCAGACGCATAAATGTAATATGTGGTACTGTAAGTGTGAAAGTAGTAAAAAATAAGGAAAATACTATGATATGGTATGTGTAGGTCTTACTGAGTGTAATTTACTTTGGTTTAAAATGTATAATATAATTTGCCTTCTCTTGGTCCATAAAATATCTAAGGAAATACATTTATTATGTTTTTCATCATACTCACACATTTGTACAATGTATTTTACTCATTCTCACATACACTTGGGTCTCACGTGAAATAAAAAATCCCAACATGTGGCCTCCACCCTCCCATTGTGAGTGTAAGTAAACTATTTTGTATAAAAGTGTGCAGGGGTGGGCGCGGGTCGGTTCGGTTCGATTCTCTTTAGAACCGAACCGAACTAAACTTTTCGAGTATCTAGTAAATGGAACCGTCGGGTTCAAATATAATTATGGAACCGTTCGGATTCGGTTCCATTCAGTTTCTATTCCGTTCGGTTCTGTACTATAATTAAATTTTTTAATATTTATAACAACGTTATATAAATATGACTAATGATACATTCAATGGTTTTGGAATGTCAGATATTAGTAAATTACCCTGTTCAAATGATCGCTACGATCAAAGCTTCAGTCGACGAAAGTCATGGCTTCGATTGGAGGTCAGAGTGTCGGCCGACGATTGTATAGGTTTTGGAATATTAGCGAGAGTGCGAGTGTTGAGACAACGTTATGCACTTTATTGTAGGTGTTTAGGGTTATTTAGTGGATTTGATCTTGTTTGGCTAAGAAATGAAACAATAAAATGGGTAATTTGGCCAAAAATTAAAAAATTAGAAATGAAACAAATTATTGGGCCAAAAATTTGGATTTAGAAATCATTAATTTGTTAATTTGTTTAAAAAAAATTAAAATTAAAATAATTTCATTTACTCAATATAAAAAAAATTAGAAAGATTCGGTTCTTATTCGGTTCTTCGGTTTTTGATCTAGAACCGAGAACCGAATCGTACCCGTCGGTTCTCAATTCAGATACCTGTTCGGGTATTTAATTTGATAAGAACCGTCGGGTTCGGATCGGTTTGGTTCAGGTTCGGTTCGGTCGGTTCTGTTCGAAAAATTTGCCCACCCCTAAAAGTGTGTGTACATCTAACACTTTCCTTTCAACAATGTTTTGGAAGCCAAACTAGATTGGCCGAATAAATCAAGATCGGCCAGAGATTTGGTTAAATTATAGTGTAAAACTCGAAAAATATACAAATTATTGAAATGGTAGATTTATCACATCTAAAACTAACCTATTAAATTAAAATCAAACTTATTAGATTCGACACGATTTGCAACCTCCCAAAAGCATGGTCGACGAGTCACTGGTTCAACCCACGGGTCATTGTCTTGTTGAAAATTTAAATAATATATTCTTTTACAGTAAACATAAGTTTAAAGGTTAAGATGGATTTTTGTCGGACGGACAGATCCCATCCAAATTTAGTAACTATCACTAAAACTTCAGTGCACCTCCTAAATATTGATTTTGAAATAATAATGAGACAAATTTTCAAACCTTGGCGGAATGTTGTCAATTTTATCACGCAATTGAACGGATCGTAACAAATAGTAAAGTAGACCTTTTGAGTCCGGATTATCGTTCCCACGAGTACTATACTTTAGTACTCAATTAATTATTCCTAACTTCTATTTAAAGAAAATAAAAAAATAATTGAATGTGATTTTTAAATCTAACTACTAGAAATTATTTGACTGCAACAGAAAATTAGTGAGAATTCAATTAATAAATAGGAATTAGGGCAGAACTAATTAATCTATTGGTCACCTTTATTTCTAATATCAAGATCCATAAAATTAAAATAGTGTTCGGTCGAATTCTTCTATTGTATTCAACTTACCCCTCTCGATTTCTCGTTGAGCCCATTTAATTAGTTCAATTACATATCTCTATGCAAATTAAATTTAATTAAACGAAATAACAGTTCTAAGAATTTCTATAGGACTGCAATAATTAATATAGGTCTCTCTACACGTTATATTAATTTATCGAATTTTAATATGTGATCTAAACAAAAATTCGCATCTCTACGTAATTATTGTTCACGAAATCATTGAATATTTGGTCAGAAAATTCAAAGCATTAAAAATATAATTAAAATTCACACATAAAATATAAAAGAACAATAATCTCAAATAAAAAAATAAAGGTCTCAAATAGATTGCATTGTTCGTCCTAAAATTAAATTTAGCTACGCATATTGATGAAAGAAAAATAAGAAATTATGGAGGATATCACTAGATTAATTGACGAAACGTGAATCTGCTGGTTTCTGCTTGTGTAAGTGTATATATTGTCCCCCAAAGCTGCCTCAATTTCAATGTAAATAAATTAACCTTCAGTAGCCTTGAAATCCGTGCGTCTCTGCCTAAATTTCTATATGAGAAATATATATTGGCTGCCTCTTTTCTCTGCTGGTCCCCCCTTCAATCTGTACGTGTGTGTATATATATATCAAAAGAAAATTTTGGCAGCACAATAGTTGACTCACAAAAGGATATCTCTCTCTGCCCCTAACAGTAGCTGCCCATCCCCCTTTTTCTAGGTTTGTACGTGTATATATATATATAAATATAACCTCCAATCTAGTAGCCACCTTTGTTGACTAAATAAAAGACTCTAAAAAGGACTCCAATTCCTCTCCAACCCCTGTCTACAGCCACTTTATTTCACTTAAAAGAAGGAGTCTAATTCATGCATGCATATAGATGTTTAATCAACCATCAATTTAAGCCATTATTACTTAAATTATTCTTCAAATCCTCCGTCTTCAAAGGTAATGCAATTCAATCCTTGAGCCTTTTTATTCTTGCAACACATTTCTTCTTTGATTCAATTCAAGTCCTTCACTTTCCAAAATATGGAATTTGATCTCCAAATTCTTCAATCTTCGATTCATGGTCTGAATCAACTATGAATTTTTTACAACTTGGTCCCCAACTTTTGGATTTCGCTCTTTTTTGCTTCATTTCTTCAATTCCCTTTTTCATTCATAGAATTTACCTATTAAAAATAAGAAACAACAATTTATGATATAATTTGTCAAAAGAATCATCAAATATTGTTATTTAAGGTACCGAATAAGTGTATAAAATACACTTATCAAATACCTTCAAACTTAAACATTTGTTTGTCCTCAAGCAAAACTATAAATAAATAATAATTAACACACAAACATGCAAAAATATTCGGTTGGACAAATCTAGCTTCTCACCTCAGGATTCAAGATTTAGTGTTTACTCTATAAACATGCTTTAAAGTCACAGTACCAAACTAATATCCACTCTTCCAATGCAAAATTTGACGTGTGTGTGTGAAGAATCGAGCAATCAACCATGACTGCACAAGTTGTTTCAATTCTCGACCCTTAATGGTCATATATGTCCTTTCATCACTCGTAAGATTCACACCCCCAAACTTATTCTTTTTTCACTCTTTTCCAATGTGTAATCTAAGGCTGAAGATTTTATTACTATCATCACCCTCTCGAGTTTAGGTGGACATTACTAGTTGCAAATCAACACTTCAGTGAACAAGGAATTCTCCAATTATTTGATTACTTCAACCTCCAAGACTCAACTAGCTAATTATCTTGTATCAAAAGTCGAATTCTCTCAAATAAGTGTTAGGGTTTAATCAAGGTATTTAGTGCTTTTGCTCTTTTCATGCACTTGTTTATATATATATATATATATATATATATATATATATATATATATATATTCTCTTCATTAAACTTTTTAGATGACCCTTGTAGCAGGCTTTAGGCCGATGACTCTCAAATCAGATGATTTTAGGGCACCAGGTTTTTAAATACCCTTACAGGCTTACTGACCCAAATAAAAAAGGCTTCGAAGAGAGCAAATTTTTATTCTTTTTATTTTTTCAAGTGCAACGTCGTCTCTAATTGCTTTCTAAATGACCCTTGTAACGAGCTTTAGATCAATGACTCCCAAGTCAGACGACTTTTGGGCACCAAATTTTAAGATACCCTTACAGACTTAATCATTCGAGTCATAAAGGTTTTAGAGAGAAGTTTAAATTTTTCAAATGTATATGCCTTGATTAGTGCAATACCCCTTATCACACACTTATTCAAACAAACCGACTTTTAACTTAAGACTTTTGCAGAGTTTTATCATGTTAGTCTAAGACAATCCACACATAAGTTTTCACACATGGAATCCACATTCACATCCGCATCTTCTTACAACTATAAAGTCACCCCCAAACTATGCTAAATTTGGTCTAAGGATAAATAATTTAATATGGTTTAGGCAAACCATCTATGTCCAACTAAATCAACATATCCAAAGCAAGCAACAACTCATTTAATTATAATATCAAACTCAACTCTAGTGTGCTTGTAATATCAAATTTTGCAAGGTTGAACCTCAATTAGTCTAGCATGCATCCTATTCACAATTCATAAATCAACATCAAATCTCAAATTAAATCATCATTGTCACTGTCTAACCCACACAAGAATAAAACTGAACAAAAGAGTTTTTTTTTTCTTTCGATTTTTTTTCTTTTCTTTTTTCTTTAACAAACACACAAAAACATTAAAACATAAAAAAAAAACAAAAACTAAATTTTTTTTTACCCCCAAACTTAAAACTGACATTGTCTTCAATGCCAGAAAACATAAATAAGCACATAAAGGGCGTAGGGAAGAAAAATAAGAAGGTACTCTCCAAATTTTTCTATTGAATGTGTGAGGCACTATGTGAGACGACTTGATAATATTCTTCATCATGCTTTTCCTTGGATCTATGTTGGTTTGAGTGTTCCACGACGTCATATTCTTGAAAAATCAAATTTGACAAATTAAAGATAGGGAACAAGGGTTACTTAGCTCAAACAATCAAAATAACCAATAATAAATTGAAGGGCTTACGGGCAGAAGGGGTATGGGTGATGACTCCTAAATAAATTAATAAATAAACTAAATTGTCCTATAACTTGAAAACAAAATAAATAAAGAAAAGAAAGCTTGGGTTGCCTTCCAAGAAGCGCTTCTTTTAAGTCATTAGTTGGGCTTTGTGCCACTATTATTCTGGTACAGCTAGGTTAAGGCTCTCTTTAGCGGTGGAGAAATCTTCCACGTAGTGCTTGATACGTTGGCCATTTACTTTGAAGTTTCCTTTTGTTAGATAGTGTAATTCAATTGTACCGTAGGAAAACACCTGAGAGACCGTAAAATGGCCGAACCATCTACATTTCAACTTTCTTGGAAACAATTTAAGTCTGGAATTGTATAAAAGCACTTGATCGCCCACTCTAAAAATTCTTTGCCTGATGTTCTTGTCATGCCACTGCTTCATCCTTTCCTTGTAGATGGCTGCATTCTCATAAGCTTCTCTTCTGAATTCTTCCAATTCATGTAGCTACAGTATTCTTGTTTCTCCAGCCTTTTCAAGGTCCATGTTTAATTGCTTCAATGCCCAGTATGCTCTATGTTCAAACTCCACTGGTAGGTGGCATGCTTTTTCAAAAACTAGTCGATATGGGGACATCCCAATAGGTGTCTTGTAAGCAGTGCAATATGCCCATAAAGTATTGTCTAATTTCTTTGACCAATCCTTGCGAGATGCATTCACAGTGAGCTCCAAAATTCTTTTCAATTGTCTGTTCAAGGTTTCCACCTGTCCACTTGTTTGAGGGTGGTAAGGAGTGGCAATTTGATGTTGTATCCCGTACTTATATAGCACTACCTGGAATAACCGATTACATGACTGATTCCACCATCACTTATTATGGCCCTAGGTGATCCATAACGGTTAAAGATGTGTTTCTTTATGAAGTCCACCACCACCCTTGCGTCATTTATAGGCAAGGCTTTAGCTTCTACCCATTTAGAGATATAATCCACTGCCACTAGGATGTACCGATTGTTATAAGATGATGGAAAAGGACCCATAAAATCAACCCCCAGACATCAAATATTTCCACCTCTAAAATGTTGTTAAGTGGCATCTCGTGACGCGCTGATATGTGACCTGTTCTTTGACATTTATCACATGATCTGCAGAAACTGTGGCAGTCCTTGAATAATGTAGGCCAGAAGAAACCACATTGAATCACCTTTGCTGGTGTTTTAGTGGGCCAAAGTGTCCTCCATAAGCTGAAGCATGAACCCGTGAAAGGATAGGTTTCATCTTATCTTCTGGCACATATCTCCTAATGATCTGGTCTGCCCATCTTCTGTATAAATTTGGATCATCCCAATAATAGAATCTGGCTTCATGAAGCAACTTCTTCTTTTGCTGATATGTGAGACCAGGATCCTGCATACCACGGAGCCTTTTCTATCTACAATAACAGCTCATCTAGGAAGACCACATTGATATCCACATCATTTGAATCACGCAGTTGCTCTAGCCTTGATAAATGATCCGCTACCTGATTTTTTGTACCTTTTTTATCACGAATTTCAATGTCAAACTCTTGCAGTAACAGAACCCATCGAATCGGCCTAAGTTTAACATCTTTCTTCTCAAACAGATTTTTCAATGCTGCATGGTCAATGTAGACTATGACCTTTGAACCAATCAAATAGGAACGAAATTTGTCGAAGGCAAAGACAACTGCTAGTATCTCTTTTTCCATTGTTGCATAGTTGATCTGAGCATCTGTCAAGGTTTTGCTGGGATAGTAGATTACATGTAACACTTTTCCTTTACGTTGGCCATGCACCGTTCCCACTGCAAACTCACTAGCATCACACATAAGTTCGAAAGGTAGATCCCAATCAGATGTTACTATTACGGGTGTAGAAGTTAACTTTTCTTTCAAAATATTAAAGGCATTTAAGCATTCATCAGAAAAGTGAAATGGCACATCCTTCTCCAATAGATTACACAGAGGTTTTGTAATTTTTGAGAAATCCTTAATGAGCCTTCTATAAAACCCTGCATGCAGACCTGGCCCTGGCCCTAGCCCAAGGCAAGTGAGGCGACTGCCTTGGGCCTCAAATTGTAGGGGGCCTCATCTGTTAAGGGAAAAAAAATTGGCACAAGAAAACGAACCGCCTTTCTCCATAAATTATTTTTTCACCGTTTTCTTCTTCGTCTTCTCTTCTCCACCACAAGCTAACTTCTCTGGTACGTAAGATTTGTAGTGTTTTCATTTTAGGGCTTGTTGCTGCTTTGGGTATTTTTATTTTTGTTTTGGTTAATTACTTTATTTTTTGTTGCTCTTGATTTTGGATGGAAACAGCAGCTGCTTTCGGGTCATCTTTCAGCTGCATTTCTCCCATAACTCCCAACCGATTTTTTCGATCCGGAGCTAGCCGAGTCACAAGGTAAGGTAGAATTAATCCCTCAATTAAAACTACCATCGACATTGTAATTTTGCTTTTTTCTCGTGGATTTGGCTGTCTCAAGGACCAATTTCCTATTCCTTTGTATCAAAAGGTATGTATTTCATCTAAAAACATTGATAAATTTTATAAACGAGATGGATTTGATTTTTCCGTTAAAAATTCTGTTTGCTACTGAATGAGGTTAAAAACGAGATGGGTTTGAGTTTTGCTTGTTCATATATGCAATATAACAGTAAAGATTTCTTAGGGCAATTTCTCCAGAGTGCAATTTTAGTCAATTTATGCATTTGTTGTGCATTTGAAGCTTGTATAGGATAAAAATGGGGATAATGTAAAAGTTTATAGGAAAGCCAAAGGTAAGATCAACCTGTCCCAGTGTCCCGTTGAAATTTCAATTCCGAAATTCCCTTTACGGCTTTACGTACATGAGGCTTATGTTTGGAAGGAAATTAGGTTTATTTATTAGCAAAAAACATTTATACATTAGCAAAGAGTATTTTTCTGCATAGCAAGTGTTTGATGATTTGTCTAAATGATCTTCTAGGTGAAAAATATTTGAATTTCCCCAATGTCCATATAGTAGTACATCATGTCATCGAATTTCAAATTCCAAGTCCAAACTGGGGTGATTAATTTATTCCAATGCTGGCTTCAGCTGTGAAGAATTAACCCAATAACAAACTAGGACAATAAGTTCCAGTTCTAAGTAGAAATTTAGAAGTATTAAGTTGTTGAGAAGTAACATATAATTTGTCTGTGCCTCTAAATAAAAATATTAGGGATACAAAAATATCAACTTAAAAAAGGAGAAATTATTAAAGAAAAATGCTAGTGGTACATAATAGAATGTACCTAAGGGTGTACATCCCCCTCACATGGGGTGTGGGGTCCACTCGAATAAATATTTTTTATTCGGGTGGATCCCACACTCCATGTGAGAGGGGTGTACACGCTTAGGTACACCCCTGTGTACCACTAGCACCACCGATTATTAAAAGGACAAGTAAACTGGCTCATGTTGGGAAATTCAGAGGGCAAACTGATGCAAGAATTACATAATCCTTAAATAATTTCATAAAAAGCAACCGTTAGGTATTTTAATGGGAATGAGTCTTGGGAATGTGTTCTATTTTTATAATTCCTATTATATGGTTTTGATATGAGATAATGTATGCCTTTTATCATGTCCCTAAAACTTATTTTGTTACTTCCTTCTATCTAGCAAAAAACGAAGTGTACAAGCTATGCTTACTACTAAACATAAATTGCAAGTAGAATTTAACAAAAATGGATAAGCTATAATTATGTTATTTAGTTCATTTTCTTACCATCCTATGTCTTTTTTTTCTTTGAATTTAATTTGGATAAAATTGCTCTAATTATGTTGCATATTTTTTTGAATAAAAGTGCTCTAATTATGTTCCATATCATCTGACAGCCGCATTGTCTACTTCAATCACCACTGTGACCACCAATTTCTGAATCCTTTCATTTTGAGACTCATCAATCAGGTTTTATCACTCTTTACTTGTTATTATGTCTACGAGAAAATTTGAATCTGGATGTGCCAAAAGAAAAAGGAAGGAAAACATTGAAAAGTTGATTAAATCTCAAGAGGGAGCACTTGATAAGTTTTTTGGTAGTAGTAAACGAATACACAATGATGACATAGCTACTGAAGAAGTGTTAAATGAGAATGACAACAATAATAATACAATTGAAGAAGGACATTGTGTGATGAATGAAGAGGTATCTACTGACAAAGATAATGAACCATTTTCTCTTAACCTTGTTGATCCAGCAAATTAGGTAAATATGAATACAAATTTAAGAGATTTAATTGTAATGAAATGTCCTGTAAGAGAAAATGATCTGATTTTTCCGAAAGATAGAGTAAATCGACACTTCTCATCCACACATTACGTTCGACGATTACCTAATGGAGAGATGGTTGATATATTTAAAAAGTTTGGATAAAATATTTTGCTTTTGTTGGAAGCTATTTAAAAATGATGGGATCAGAACCCAATTGGCACATGATGGAGTAAATGATTGGAAAAATGTTGGTGAAAAACTTAAAATGCATGAAGCAAGTTGTGATCACATCAATAACATGAATAAATGGATAGAAATGGAATTAAGATTTGAAAAGAGTAAAATAATTGACAAAAGTGTGCAAGAACAAATCAATAGAGATAGAGAACATTGGAGACAAGTATTTTTGAGAATAATATATGTTGTGAAAACTCTTGCTAAGAATAATTTAGCATTTCGTGGGGACAATGAGAAGATATATCAAGAAAATAATGGTATCTTTTTAAGCATGATTCAAATGATTGCTGAGTTCGACCCCGTAATGCAAGAGCATGTTCGTCGAATAAAAAGTAAAGAGATTCATTATCATTATCTAGGACACAAAATTCAGAATGAGTTGATACTTATGCTAACGAGCGAGATAAAAAAAATAATTATTGAGAAACTCAAAATTTCCAAATACTTTTCTGTTATACTTGATTGCACTTCAGATACAAGTTACAAAAAACAAATGTCAATGATATTGAGGTGTGTAGATATTTCGACAAGTCTAGTAAAGGTTGAAGAATTCTTTTTAGGGTTTTTATTAGTGGATGATACATCAAGTAAGGGGCTTTTTGAAGAATTGGTGGATGCTTTGAATAATCTAGAACTTGATATTGATAATATAAGGGGTCAAGACTATGATAATGGTGCTAACATGAAAGGAGAATATAAAGGAGTTCAAAGTAGATTATTACAACTAAATCCTAGAGCATTCTACATTCCTTGTGGATGTCATAGTCTTAATCTTGTACTTTGTGATATGGTCACTTGTTATTCAAAAGCTAAATCTTTCTTTGGGGTGGTGCAACGTATATATACTCTATTTTCTTCATTTACTAAATGATGGAAAGTTCTCAAGAGAATGTAACTGGTCTTACCCTTAAGCCTTTGTCACAAACTCGTTGGGAAAGCCATATTGAAAGTGCTAGAGCGATAAGATTTCAAGCTCCGCAGATAAAAACTTGTTGTTCAAAAGCTAAATCTTTCTTTGGGGTGGTGCAACGTATATATACTCTATTTTCTTCATTTACTAAATGATGGAAAGTTTTCAAAGAGAATGTAACTGGTCTTACCCTTAAGCCTTTGTTACAAACTTGTTGGGAAAGCCATATTGAAAGTGTTAGAGCGATAAGATTTCAAGCTCCGCAGATAAAAAAAGCGTTACTTCAATTAGCAAATGTTGATGATCCTAAGACAAAAAGTGAGGCGGAGTGTTTGGCAACAGATGAAATTGACAATTTTGAATTCTTACTTGGAATGATTATTTGGTATGAAGTGTTAAATAATGTTAACAGAGTAAGCAAACAATTGCAAGCAGAAGACATGCATATTGATGTTGCTATAAACCATTTAAAAGCCTCATTTCATTTTTCAAAAGTTATAGAGAATCTGGTTTTGAATCGGCCATGGTTGATGCTAAAGAGATTGCAAGTGAATTAGAAATTGAATCGATAGTGAAAATGGGTTATACATAGAAAAAACAGTTTGATGAGATTTCTTCTGAAGAGATAACACCAATAGCTGAAGAATCTTTTAAGATCAATTATTTCATATATATAGTGGATCAAGCTCTATCATCACTTCAGAATAGATTTGAGCAATTTCAGAAATATGATGATATTTTTGGATTTTTGTTTGATTTGAAAAGACTTAAATCTATTGATGATGATGTTTTGAAGTGTTCTTGCATTAAACTTGAAAATTACTTGAAGCATAATACGATTTCTGATATTGATGGAATAGAATTATTTTCTGAGTTGAAAGTTTTAAGGGAAGCTATATCTGCAAACATTTTTGGAGCAATTGATGTATTGGATTACATTAAGAAAACGAACTGTTGTTATGCAAATGTCTGGATTGCTTATAGAGTATTATTGACTATTCCTGTCACAGTTGCCTCTGTCGAAAGAAGTTTTTCAAAGTTGAAATTGATTAAATCTTATCTTCGATCATCCATGTCACAAGAGCGATTGAATGGATTAGCTATGATTTCTATTGAAAAAAATATGTTGGACAAACTTGATGTTAGTAGTTTGATTACTAATTTTACATCTCATAAAGTGAGAAGGTTAAATCTTATGCTAGCCTAATCTTACGGGTTGTGAAAGAAGTTTTATTTTGTTATTCTATCTATCGAATTATATGAAGTTTTCTCTCTAATATAAAAGTGTTAATTATTTAAATATTTACATATTGTTAGACTTGTAAAATAAAATTTGTGTTGAGGGGCCCCATAATAATTAAACGGCCTAGGGCCTCTAAATTCTCAGGGCCGGCCCTGCCCGCATGTCCTAAGAAGCTCCTGATCCCCTTAACTGAATTAGGGGGCTGCAATTTTTCAATAACTTGTATTTTGGCTTTGTCAACTTCAATGCTCTTTGAGGAAATCTTGTGGCCTAGCACTATCCCCTCTTTTACCATGAAATGTCATTTTTCCCAATTTAGCACTAGGTTCTTCTCTTCACATCTTTGCAACACAAGAGCCAACCGATCAAAGCAGTCATCCAATGAATCTCCAAACACAGAAATATCATCCATGAATACCTCGATGTATTTTTCCACCATGTCAGAGAATATGGCCATCATGCACCGTTGAAAGGTTGTGGGTGCATTGCATAAACCAAAAGACATCCTTCTAAACGTAAAAGTTCCATAGGGACATGTGAAGGTTGTTTTCTCTGGTCTTCTGGAGCAATAACTATCTTATTGTACCCAGAATCTTCGTCCAGAAAGCAGTAATGAGAATGATCGGCCAACCTTTCCAACATCTAATCAATGAATGGCAATGGAAAATGATCCTTTCTGGTTGCATTGTTTAGCTTTCTATAATCTATACATACTCTCCAACCCGTCACTAACCGTGTTGGTATCAGCTCGTTGTTCTCATTTTTCTCCACCGTGATTCTACCCTTTTTTGGCACAACATGCACTAGACTCACCCATGAACTATTAGAGATTGGATAGATAATACCTGCATCCAACAATTTCAGTACTTCTTTTCGCACAACTTCTTTCAAGGTTGGGTTTAATCTGCGATGTCCTTCCACTGATGGCTTTGATCGTCATCCATTAAAATCTTGTGCATACAAAGAGTTGGACTTATTCCTCTGATGTCAGCTATTGTCCATCCAATTGCCATTTCGTGCCGCTTGAGTACCTCCAACAATTTATTCTCCTCTTCCATCGTCATGTCATTTGCAATGATTACTGAAAGTGTTGTGGATTCTCCCAAATATTCATAACGGAGATGTGAAGGCAAGGGCTTTAGTTCAAGAGTATATGCCTTTTCTACTGAAGGTACTGGGGGTAAAGTGTTGTCACCAAGAGATTCATACGGCCAATGTCTTCTTCCTATTGGTTGCTTAGCCAAGTTGACAACACATTCAGTTTTTTCTGTACTTGTTGCTTCCGATTGTGCAATTTCTGCCTCACAAAGAACTCTTTGATGCTCTGTCTCAAATGTATCTACCACAAGTTCTTCAAGAACATCTACTTGGCAACAAGTTTCTGAAGTCAATGGATATTTCATTGCCTTGAACATGTTGAATATGACTTGCTCATTGTCCACCCGAAGAATCATCTTTCCATCGTAAACATCAATTAGCGCTCTTCCGGTAGCCAAAAAGTGTCTTCCCAAGATTAGAGGGATGTTTGAATCCTTCTCTATGTCCAATACGATGAAGTCAGCCGGAAAAATGAATTTATCAACTTTGACTAGCACATCTTCAATAATCCCCTTCGGTCGTTTGATTGATCTGTCAACCAGTTACAATGAGATTGTTGTAGGTTTTGCTTCTCCCAATCTAAGAGACATGTAAACAAAGAGAGGTATTAAATTAACATTGGCACCTAAATCACATAAAGAATGTTCAAAATAATTAGAACCAATTATGCAAGGTATCGTGAAACTCCCTGGGTTTTTTAGTTTAGTAGGTAGCTTTTTCAATAGAATTGCACTGCACTCCTCGTTTAGGCAGTCTGTCTCATGTTCTTCTAGCTTTATTTTGTTAGACAGGATCTCCTTCAAGAATTTAGCATAGCTGGGCATTTGGGTAATTGCATCTGCAAATGGAATATTGATGTGCGGTTTCTTGAAAATCTCCACAAACTTGATAAACTACTTGTCGAACTTCTTTCTCTGTAGCCTCTGAGTGAAAGGAATTGGTGGCACATAAGCTTTCACGGGCCTGGGTGCTCTCACCGTGGGAATTTCTTTCCTTTTATCCTCCTCATTAGTTGGTTGTTCAGACTCTGCTTCTGTCTCAGCCTCTTCACCCATTACTTCTTTGTCTTTTTTGTCTGGTCTCTTCACTTCTAGTCATAATAGCTTGCACTTGCTCTTTTGGATTGACCATTATGTTGCATGACAATGTCCCTTGTGAGCGTTCTGCAAGCTGTTGAGCAATCTGACCAATTTAAGTTTCCAGCTTCTTAATAGATGCTTGTTGATTCTGAAAGTTAGTGTCAATCTGCTGGAACACCTTGTCTGTCTTCTACATGCACTAGTTGAACATCTTCCCCAAACTTTATTTTTTCTCTTGTTGTGCATTGTTTGAACTGTTCCCTTACTGATTATCCGACCATCTGACGTTTGGGTATTGTTTACATCCTGGGTTATATGTTTGTGAAAAGGGATTAAAATTTCGAGAGCCATTTTGAATGAAGTTGACTTGTTCCTCCGGAAAATCCATAGATGTGCAATTTTCTGTTAGGTGATTTGCCCCACAGTTTTCGCAAGATGGGCCAGTTACCACTGCATGTGCTCTTTTGTTTGTGACTTCACCAATAACTCTACTTGTTTTGTCAATGCTGCTATTTGGGTGTTGGTAGATGATGTACTGTCTAATTCATACATTCTCCCTGCTTTTGGAGGCACTACTCTTTCTGATGAAAACATGGAATGAGTAGTAGCAATCAACTCAAATAGATCCATACATTGTTGCACTGATTTTCCTATGGTCGATCCACCTGTAGAGGAATCCACTTGAGATTTGGATAGTGGTGAAAGTTCTGTGTAGAAATACTGCACTTGATTTCCAATAGTGATCCCATGATTTGGACACTTCCTCATCAACTCCTTAAATCTGTTCCATGCCTTGTGATAACTCTCCCCATCTCTCTATTGAAAAATTTGAATTTCCAATATGATTTTTGCTACCTTAGCTGGTGGAAAGAACTTATTGCAGAATTTTCTAGTCAGTTCCTCCCATGTGGTAATACTTCCATTCGATTCGGAATCCAGCCATTCCAATGCTGCATCTCTCAGTGTATATGGAAATAATCGCATCTTGATGGCGTCCTCATTAACCCCAGGAGCATGACAATTCTGGCATTTCTTGAGAAACCTTGAGATATGTGTGTTTGGATTCTCATGAGGTAACCCGTAGAATTGCAGAGTGTTGCTCATCAAATTAATCCAATCAGCCCGTATCTAGAAGTTGTTTACCCCAAAATCTGGATATACTATGCTGGATCGCGCAGGTGTTGCTATAGGCATAAAAAACATAGAAATTGGCGAGTCCCTTTCATTTACTTCCCTTTGCTCTTGTTGTTGAGCTCTCGCAGCCATTTGTCCAATTGGCTGTATAGGGTTAGGATTGTTTAGATTATCATCCATTTGATATTGCTGTTTTTGTTTGTGTTCCCAGTGTCTTCGTTTGAAGGTACGTTCTATTTCCGAATCAAACGGTTCAAGATCGTTTCCTTGGGCACGAGCATACAACGAACACAGTTTTCTGTAAATAAAAGAAAATAAGTAAATCAAATAACAATTAAAAATAAGATAGAAAAATAAAATAAGACTAAAAATAATAGTCCCCGACAACGGCACCAAAAACTTGTTGTCGATTTTATCCCGCAAGTGGACGGATCGTAACAAGTAGTAAAGTGGACCTTTTGAGTCCGGATTATCGTTCCCACGAGGGTTATACTTTAGTAATCAATTTATTATTCCTAATTTCTATTTAATGAAAATAAAAAAATAATTGAATGTGATTTTTAAATCTAACTACTAGAAATTTCGTGACTGCAACAGAAAATTAGTGAGAATTCAATTAATAAATGGGAATTAGGACGGAACAAATTAACCTATTGGTCACCTTTATTTCTATTACCGAGATCCATAAAATTAAAATAATGTTCGGTCGAATTCTTCTATTGTATTCAACTTACCCCTCTCGAGTTCTCGTTGAGCTCATTTAATTAGTTCAATTTCATAGCTCTATACAAATTAAATTTAATTAAACGAAATAACGGTTCTAAGAATTCCTATAGGACCACAATAATTAATAGGTATACCTACACATTATATTAATTTACCAAATTTTCATATGTTGTCTAAACAAGAATCCGTATCTCTACGTAATTATTGTTCACGAAATCATTGAATATTTGGCCAGAAAATTCAAAGCATTAAAAACATAATTAAAATTCACACATAAAA